CTATAGTCTGGTTGATGGTTTCAACCCCTCTGAAAAATATGCTCAAGTCAGTTGGGATAATGATTATCCCCAATGTGATGGGAAAGTCAAAAAAAACCATGGTTCCAAACCACCAACCAGTAGTCATATCACCATTAAATAGTGGATTTACCCATTAAAAGTGGTGGATCTTTCCATCGTTATGTTACCGTTTACCAGAGGGTACTAGTCATTATTAACCATGATTAACCATCATTGACCATTGATTAACCATTATTAACTATATTATTAACCATGGAAATCCCATGATCAAACTTACCATTATGAATCACCATTGGACCATTCTTATTCATGATCTTTTCCGGGGTCCCAGAGGTCCCAGAACTATCCGAGGTCACAGCTCTGCCGCTTTCCCCGCCTCTTCGGAAATAGGCCTCCGGTGGTTTTCCGGACGAAAACCAGGATGAAATCAGGAGACCTCGATGGGTTCTTACTCTCTTACTTATCATTCATGATATCAAATGTAAGTTAAATGTAAACCCATTATTCACTTAACATCAACTCCGGTTGGCAACCTTGTCATCTGGGCCCAGGATTGTAGCTGATTTGTTCAGGTGCTAAGTTCGTACTGACATAGGATGAGGGTTGTTCATCCACCGAATAGAACTCGTCGTGATTTGTTCGTACGCCGTCCGTGGTGGTTTTCGAATTCCCTCAAGTATGTCCGAAAATCTCATGAATTCAACCCGTTAAGTTAGACATTGTAGGAAAGCATGTGAGGGCAAACTACCATTTTGTGCCATACATCAAACATGGCTGGAAAAAATCAGTATGTCGCAAAGAAACATACATTTAAAAATCCATGACAATTGTTTTTCTACGGGTCCACTTAAATCTATGGGTTTTTCGGCTCTGGTGCAACCGACCCTCCTGCAAAAAACCCAAGTCAAATCTAGATCTACATTTCACCAGAGTAAAAATAGACCTCGGTGATCTTTCGTTGCATGGGATTATCCATGTCTACATGTTTTAAACAACATTGTTACCACTAATGTAAACACTAATTGATAACTAATGTCGTTACATGTCTACAAACACTAATGTCGTTACATGTCTACATACATTAGTGTTTTAAACAAATCTCCCCACATCTTTGTCAAGACAAAAACAAACAAATGCTAAAATCACCCAAAAAGATAACCACGAAAAAAACCCAGGGTCAAGATCTCAAGGGTCTGAACCAAAACTCATCAATCAACATCAAATAGATATGGATCGTATATGGATCGTATATGGATCATATATGGATCATATATGGATCATAAGTTCACCTTCATCTTTCATGTACCAACCTATTTTCATAAGTACACCTTCTCCATCATATAGATCATATTATGATCATATCATTTTCATAAGTAATGTGGGTAAAACAATGTCATAAACCATCCCCCAGTCATCACCATTGCTAGAGGTGGCATGGTTACCATTCCCAGTCATGCATTGTTTACCCACATTACACCCAAAATCTATGGTTATGGGTCAAAACCCTGATGCTGGGTGGTCTCCTAAAATATCCTATAATCGCTGGTTAATGGATGTTTCTTCATTGACTAATATATATATATATATACTGTAAATATGATTGCAATATTATCATATGGCAATGGTATCCTAAAATATGGCAATGGTATCCTAAATATATCCTAAAATCGCCAAAAAAAATGGATGTTTCTTCCCAAATAAAACATCCTATAATATCCTGTAATATCCCCCATAGGATCCATGGTGCTGGTATATATGCTAACATGACTGGGGTATATTGATGGTAAATGTTACCATATATGGCATACATGGATCCTATGGGATATGAATGGATGGTTCTACCCCAATAAAAATATGGCAATTTCTCCAGGTTTCGACCAGATGTCGACCTCCGACAGCGATAAATCGACAGAGCCTTGGACAACTTCGAAGTCGACAGAGCCTTGGTACACCTGGGCCAGCCGGAGATCATTGGAGGTTTCAAAAAGGTGGTTACGGCTGGAAGAAATCCACAACAAACATGATTTTAAATGGGTTCCATGGGAATATCAGTGAAGATCGACTTAAAAATCAGCCAATAACATCCAGGATATCATTAATATGGTATATCAAGAAAATATTCCAATCCAGTGGATATCAATGGAAGTTTTACCCAGCGGGAACGGGATCCTACTGAATCATCCCAATGGGATGAATTTCATGGGTAATTCATTGGATCCTAATTGGGACCTCAAAAAATATCCATACCGAAGCATTCCGTGATCTTTCTTTACAACCCAGAAATGTCCATATAAAAAATGCAACCCACGGTGCTGGTATGTTAATGCTAACAAAAATGGGTTTTTTCTTGATGGGATCCATGGCACACCATTTTTCGAGCAGCACCATGGGGCAGGCATATGTCCATATCAAAAATCCCCCGTATCGGATTGGTCAGGACCGTTTCACCGCGCCAGGGGACGCGTCGATGCATTTCCGATGCTCCCCGAGCTTCAAATAACACCTGCAGCGGGCTGTGCAGAATCAGTTCTTGAACCGAAATTTACAAAGGTTCACGTTTGCATATGTATATAGAATTTATATGATCAAAGATAGATACCCTCCAATTAACATTAATCATGAAAGATAGATGCAAACCCCCAATTCACAATTCGGAATCCTGTCTTATTTTTGACCATGTTTATACCATGTTTAGTGGAAATTGACCATTTTTACTGGAAACTCATCTTCCAGTCGCCCATATTATTTGGATCTAGCTGGCAGGGTCGAGATCACCAGTCGCACAAGGCGGCGGGGCGACGCTGCCATGTTGAGATACGTGGATTGTTTCAGCTTCTTCACGTCCTGAGGCGGCATGCAATGGCATGGCATGATGTTCCATCCAAAGAATAGTAGTATATTAATTATACAAATATACTGACATACAGTATGTGTATACACAGTAACATGATGCATATATGTAGAATGCTAATATATTTGCATGGCCGTATAGCTAATGTATTTATGAAAATATAATATATATATATAATATGTATATAAACAATATAGGGTATCAGAAAGCACACAGCGGCGTGGTGCAAGCAACGGTCTTTTCCTGTAGCGGAAAGGGCGCCCTTCGGGCCAGTAGATGCAGCGGTCAATCGAACCTGGACATGTGTGGCAGCATGATGTACCTGAAAGGACAGTTGGATTTTCTCACCCGTCCTCAGGTGCAGATTGGCTCTTTTTGAGCTGCTTTCGCTGGTGTCTTCCGGCGCGGATCTGCTCCTTCTTTTTCAGCGCTTCTTCGGTAGGAGCCAGTTTCCATGTTCCAGAGGACAAAGCTTCCAGCAGCAATTCACGTTCACATCCAACCTTGGTTAAAACATCGGCAAGCATCTGGCTGGTGTCGATCCACATGATCTCACACCCTTCCTGCATCAGCTCGCGCACTTGCGCAACCAAGATTTTCACTCGCTTGTCTGTGGGCTGTCCAGCATCCTTGGCAACGGTGGACTGCAAACTTTTCGCATCGGTAAATGCCAGTACTGGTTTGAGCGCATACTCTGTCTCGAGAGTGGTCAGCGGCACATGGGGATGCATGATCTCTCGCAAGAGAGAAGCCACGTAAATTCCAGCTTCAACACCTGCAAGAAATGAGTTCGCTTCAGCTGCCAGGGTGCTACGGCAAACACGTTTGATTGATGTAGATGTCGCCTCCAAAATGAGGACTGGTGTCTCGGTGCCATCCTTGATGGAGGGCAGGGTCAAGCCTACCAGGTATCCGCACTGAGATCGCAAACCTTCTGTGTTTGCAAAACTTGAATCAGCACGTACAAAAACAGCACAGTTTTCCAAAGTGAGATTGGAAGGTTTGAAGCACCATTGGGCATCAGCGCTATCCTTCAGCATCTTGACGGCCTTGTTGAGGTCAGTCACATTCTTGATGCATGGGTGGCCAATGCTTTGGGAGGCAATGCTGACATTCACCATAACGTCAGGCCTCGTCTGTCGTGCTATCCAACCCATACTTCCAATCAAGGCTCTGAACTCGCTCTTTTCTTCTTCAGAGAGTGGCAGGTTTGGAAACTTTCTTCTGTGCTTGTCGAGCATCTGGTACTCCAGGCCTTCAATGGCATCGACCTGTTCCAGAGAGATCGACTTGTCAGCATGCTGGATTAAGTTCTTTCCACAAAAACGAAACTCAGTGTCCTTCTTCTTCAGGTGAAGGCGTTTGGTGAGCTCCTTCATGCATTCTTCGTACTTGTCACCAAAGCCACAAGTAATCAAATCATCAACGTGGCTTGCCATGACTCCAATCAAAGCAGGTGGAGAGGTTGATTCATCGTAGAGGTAGAAGAGGGCTAGCTCAATCTGGGAGAGGATCCATCCACATTCCTTCGCATCATGAAGCAGTTTAATCCACCAACTGCGGCCAGCATCTTTCGTCCCATATATGCTACCACGAGCCCTGAAAAGTGTGCCTGGCTGAACTCCAGGTGGTGGTGGCCGAGGTGCACGCAGGACCAGAAGTCGGGCAATTCCATGACTCTGGAGGTATGCAGTGGAGGCATCATATGCTGCTGCAATCCATCCCATCAAAACGGAAATGCAGCAAACCAAATTGAAAGCAAGCAAAGAACATGTTGGTGAATCAGAGCGTATGTTCTGCTCATCCTCTTGACAACCTTGAACAACAAGCCGTGACTTGGCTTCGAATGGGAACTCCTTGTCGACCTGTTCTTTGGTCTTTCCCGTCTTCTTGGCCATGTGCCGGGCAATGAGCCTTGGCTTGCTATTCTTGTCAGTGTGAACCCACCTGGTGCCAATGACTTTGGTGTCCTGTGGCAACGATTGGATCTCTTCCTCCGTCAGCTCAGCAACTGCTTGAAACTTCTGCCATGAAGTCCATTCTTTGAGCATGGAGGCGTCAAAAAGCTTCCGATCTTCAGGGCTGAGGCTGTTGATGTTGATCTCTGACTTGGCTGCCTTGCCGGTCATGAAGGCATAGTTCAGATTGCTTTCTTGCTCAGGCTCCAGCTCTTCAGAGCTTCCAGAAAGGCCACCAGCTAGTTCAAGTCGGCGACGTCTTTGCACGGCAGTGCTGATACCAGGCCAAACTTCCTCCCAGGGCTCCTCATCCACATAGTATGGTCCCGACTCACGCAATCGTGCTTGAGCTGTTGGACGTAGGGCTCGGACAGGGCCTGTTCCATGACCATCAAGTAGATCAGGTTGTTGCATTGCAGTGGTCAAACTGGGAGTCCCAGGCGCAGCAAAAGGTGGCCTTGGTGTCGTTGATCTGGCTGGCTCAGTCACGGCAAGTCTTGGTGTCGCAGGTCTTGTTGGCTGGGGCTCAGGTTCCTCAGCCGTTCGCTGGCGCAAATGCCCAGTGTGGGCTAGTTGGGGAGCTTGTACTTCAACTGGTTGAGGCTGTAATGCAATCTGTGGCGTCATGGGCGCATTGGCAGTCTCGGTGTCGGCAGCGTCAATCGCTGCTTCCAAATCAAACTCATCATTCTCGGGTACAGGTGGAAGTACCTGTTGTGCTTGTTGTTGTTGAGCTCGTTGAGGAGGTTGAAAAAGAGATGGTGATGAAGATGATGATGTTGTGTTGGATGTGTGAGGTGTTGGTTGTTGTTGTCCTTGTTCATGTTGTGCATGTTGTTGCATTGGTCGCGGAGCAACCAAGGGTCTGATGTCGATGAAAGATCTTGCTCCTCGAAGCTGCAGGTTTGCAACAGCATAGTGGGGCACGGTGTGAGCGGCCAAAAGCTCGTCCTCACTTGCAAACCTCATCTGCTCGCCAGTGGTCAAAATGACACTGGGCCCATAGCGAATCCAATAGGAGTGCGGGGCACCTCCTTCAGTTGGCGCGTCTGCATCTTCAAGACGACGTGGATTTCTCAGCTCGACTCCAATCACGCGAGCTGGCCCAAACCATTTGTACTGTCGAGAAGTGCCAGGCAGTTGTTGGGCACGGTAGAAATACACGTAGGAACCAACTGGGAAGGGGCCTCTCACAGGCGTTGATTGCCTCAGCAGCGCTCTTCTGACACGAGCATCAGTGTCCATCTTGATCTGGGCAATCTTGGCGCTTTCGCGTATGGCAAGTGTTTTCGCCATCTGGCTGGCGGGATTCTCAGCAGCTTCAAGAACTTCAAGTCTTTGGGACTCTTCATCATTGAGCAAGGAGCCAGGAAGTCGAAGTTCTGGTACTCCAAGGACCCATTGAATGGGGCTGTAGCCGCTTGTTCTTGGGAAGGAATTTCGGGTCTGAGTCACGATTGATGTCGCGGTCAAGACATCGTCAAGTCCAGAAATCTGTGACTCGTGAACGACTTTGGCCCATAGTTCCTTCCACAGGTCGCCTGCTTTCTCACATTTGCCTCCCTTCCATGGAGCTTCAAGAGGCATGACTTCTTGTTCAACTCCAAACTGCTTCAAGTGGTCCGCAAAAATGGCCATGAACTCTTTGCCGCGGTCAACTTGGATGGAGTGTGGAAGGCCAGCCCATGAAGACCAAGAGGTCGTGAAGTGGCGCAGGACTGCTCGTGAGGCAGGAGGACCTTGAACTTCACCAACACAAGCAACAACTTGAAATCCAGTTGCATCATCGACAATGTTGATGAAACCAAAAGTAGTTCCTCGTGAATCTTTGGCATACATGGTGTCCAAAAGGAGATGCCTGTTGAACTCATACTGGTTGGGGAGTCGTACTGGTCGTGGTCGTTTTCTCCTGATGGATTCACCACAGCTATCACAAGCCATAAGTCCAGCGGCCTTGATAGCTTCAATCTTGGCGCCTTGGCGTCTCAAGATCCGCTGAAGTGTCACAGCTGTTGGATGACCAAAGTTCACGTGGAGGTCCCGCACAATCTTGCGGATCTCAGGGTCGATCTGGAGCCATTCAGTTCGCCTCTCACCCTCAGACTTGTTCAAGATGGGATCGAGGTCATAGGCCTGTCTGGCCCGGAAGTCTTGGTCACCTTCCGCATCTTGTTGTGGAACTGGTAGTTCATCAGGAAGGTCTCCAGAGGCGTCAGGTCTGACGTACACTGGTGGTGCTTGGTATTGTTCGGTCAAGGTTGATACCCGTCCTTGTCTCCTTCTCCGCTTTGGTGAAGAGGTCTGAGCAGGTGAAGGTACAGGACGTGTTGGAAAGGCATCATGAGTCGCGGCCAAGGCCTCCTCAAAGACATGCTGCTCAATGTGCGCTTGTTGGATTGCGCATTCCAAAACCATCTGGTCAAGTTTCTTTGGCCATTCAGCAGCTTGAGCAGTTCTTGGACCGAACTTGTTGGCTCCTTCAAGTGGTTGATGTTGCAGGCAGTCGCACTTGCAGTCGGAAAACACAGACTCGGCTGCCAGCATGGTTGTCAAGTAGTAGCTGGGCTTGTGATGAGGAAGTCCATTTTCTCGATCACAATACCCAACTTGGCAGCCGTCAACCTTCAAAGCCATCAGAGAGCCATTTTCGATCAGGGCACGGGTTTCAGCCATCTCGGGCTCTTCAATGCTGTCGGAGCCATAAGGCTGTTCGACAAAAACATGTCTCTTGCCCTTGACCCTGTCAGTGATGACCTTGTTGACCAAACGTAGCAAGGGTCGTGACTCTTCGCGCAAGTTGAGGACAGTGATCTCAGATTGGCCACCCTTGGCAATGTTGAACTTTGACCAGTTACCCCAAGGTCCGCAGGGATGTGTGATCACCGTGAGGTATGGATCCTCATGCTTCATGTCTCGGTGAACCCTGGTCAATCCAGTGGGAGAAGTTGCATCCCATGAAGTGATGGAAGAATCCAATGGCACTCCAACCAACATGCCGTAGAGAGTTGCCAAGGTTGTCAAACCCATCTGCCCAG